TCATTGTGGCGCTGCTCGGTGATTCCTGCAAGAAAATTCTCCAATTCCTCAGCTGCCTGGGATAGAGTACGTGGAGAAGGCGAAAGTTGTGTGGCAGGAGTGGCCGGGGTTGTCGTACGAGGCCGGTCGCTGAAGGGACGCTGGCAAGCCTGGAGCGGACGGGGGCCTTTGTGACGAACTGACAGGGGAGCTAATGCAATCGGGGGCTCCCGAGGGAGGGGCTTGTTTCTCACCTCATCCAGTGATGGGCTTGTTACGGCTAGCTTGGAGGCCGAGCCTACTAGCACGGGCGCTATATCGTCATCAAATACTCCTGCAGCAGCGGGGGAAATGACAGAAAAGGCATCGGCTGATTTGTAGGGGCATCCGGCTAGTTCGGAGCCAAGACTTGTCACGGACGATCTTCGGCTGTAGCACGAGGAAGCTGTGTCGAAAGTGTCTTCAGACAAGGACGGAGAATCAGTTCTAGTGCCAGAATCCGAGGAATTCTGTCGATTTTGATGATCAATCGCCTGCATGTCTGCCAGAAGAGAAAAATGTGTCACCTTAGGGGTTGTGGTGCTTATCGGAGACACCAGCGAGAAATGCGACGACAGTTCAGGGAAGAATCGAGTCCAATGAGTCCCTCTTGGAGGCGATCTGTCCGACAGTGGTGAGATTGCGAAATTGTCGTCGTCTGTCCATTCGTCATCGGATGGTCGACTTGAAGAAGTATCGCACTTTGAGATCGACGTAACGGAGTGTTCTGAATCAGACGACGGCGCGCCTAACGGGTCTGTCGTGCTCATTTTTAAAGATGGTAGCCTTTTCAACGGCTCCTTCCCGCAGTTCAGATTTCCAATCGAGTCAAGCCAGAAGGGCTGTGCTGTGTACGGTTTACCCAAGTTCGGAAATGCGGTGTATGATATGATCCACGGATCTGGAAAGGGCTGGAGGTTCGTGCTTAGAGCTGTACAGTTGGATCACCAAGCAGATGTGCCTTTCTCGGGCCTATACATGATCATGCAAGATAGATCCGTGACTTCGGGACGTTCTTTGTTCTCCTTGACAATGCCACTCCGGTCTATTCCTGGGCCATGAACTGCTCTTCCTCACCAAAGTCTCGATCCGGGACAAGTCCAGTCCTCCAGTCGCGATGATGAAAGATCCTAATGGTACTTTCAGGTCTCTATGAGTCGGGCGGACTTGGAAGTATAGAATGGACGTTCCAGCAGTCGGTGTTCCTTACTTCCCTGGTAATTCCGAAGCCGAGAGAGATCGCCTCGAAATTGCGCTATACAAGGAACAAAGAGAACGGAGAAGGACTATCTGATGAGACCAGTCAGCATGAATCTGTTCCACATGACCACCAGATTGCTCGGTGGGAAACGAACCAGTCAAGAGGCAGGTATGTACAGAGTAGGACAAAGAGGTAGCACCATCGCCTGCCAAGGGATGAGTGGTCGACAGGGAAAACGACAGGTCAGGATACAGAGTATATAGTACTGAGATGCAGTACTAGTCTGGCAATTAATCACTGCATGAATCGATTTCGAGCCCTTGTCACCACGTGCATGGCATGGGTTGGTTTCCGGCAACAACAGGTCGAGCATTGTTGGTGTTGGGGGGCCATATAGACTATTATGGTCTATCCAATTGCTGGAACTAATCATTCCTTTCCGCAAGCTGCCTATCTAACCAAGCTACTTCTGGTCAAAAAGGCTGAGGGAAAATGTTAACTTCGCAAGGGACGATCCCTCGACAATAATCCAATGATGATAGACGATGAAGCTGGTGACACGAGGAATGATGGATGGGGGGCCAAAAAGAGACAGGCGTGACCAGTTGGTTACTAGTGGTATTTCTGATTCTGATTGACTTTGGGTGTTGTACGACTTCGAGAAAGCCTCGCTTAGCTGAAATACAATTACCGTCGTTTCTAATAATATGATTTTGTCCATCAGTCCGAGGAGTATTTCTTCAAGAAACGAGAATAAAATGTGCCCTTAGAGAGGTAATAATTTCGTAAAATGAACGATGCTGATTCTATCAACGTCCACAATCGTATATGCAAGTACGAAAGAGGTATCTACTCCGTAGGTAAAATGAAAGAAATCAAGAACACGAAGTGATAATCCGCTTTGTCGTATCGAGTCTTTTTTTGGCGTCGTCTCGGCCCTTTGTCCTCGCATTCCCCCAGGCTTGGATACTCCGCCATCGAGCCAACGCCACTGATCTGCACTTCTGCATCTTCAAGACATCGGCCCCCGGCCCACTCCATCCTTGCTCATCGTATAAGCTCGTTGGCTGACTAGCTGTAGTCTTGTTGGAGTCCCAACCAACCTTGCAGGGTCTCAGGAGGATTTCAGTTCATGCCATCATAGATACGGGGTGTCAGTCACAAGCCTAGTGTTCTGGGGGCCACATAGATAAGCCTGGGGCGTTGCTATCCTTATGGCAGTTTGGCTGTCTATGCAGTTACCAGTTCGGAACTTGGGGCTTTTTCGAACAATGGCATTATCCCCTTCCTCTCTATTCCTATACTAACTGTGCCATGTCAACCAGCTGATCACCTCCTCTGTCAAGTTTGCCCACATTCCTACCGCTTACCTGCATCTTCCTCGCATTACGGAGACCAGGCATGACCCATGAGATTCGAGTATGATTTATCACAAACTGCAGTTCTTCCTTCGGAATAGGACACCTCTTGTCTCCAAAACTGTTAGGATGTAGACATACTGCGACCAGATATGTTTCGTTTGTTCGTAGGCCCACCTTAGGTATGCCCTAACGACAGAACAACCAACTGCCCCCAACACTCCGCAATCGTCGATGGATCTCCAAGAGACCAACTTATTGTTGGCGATCGGCAGGATCAAATAACCTTACCGTCGCAGTAAGGCGTTTTCGGGAGGTAAATCTGAACTAATGGATGTGTCTCACATACATTCGAGTCAAGCTCAATTGCTGAGGTGATCGCGGAAGGGTGCAGGAAGTGAGTCCCGTCTGAGCTCAGCAGTTTTGCTGGAGCTTGTCATGGAGCTTCGCCTCTGGCTCTTGTTAGATGATGTGCATCAGCGTTAGTAGACGGAAGTCGATTTAACTAAGGCTTAATCTTACGTAGATCCTAGATGAAATATAATGGCCACGGATGATCAGATAGGATAGTTGGTACTATTTGTTGTCGGGATTCTATCCAAAACTCAGCCCCCAACGGCCGCATTATCTACAATAGGGATAATATGGAATGTCTAACCAGCCAACACCAACCCAACAATCCTTTCACTCTATTCTTGTCTACAACCAGAGCACGGGGGCCAGCAATTGCTGCAATCATGAATCTGCCTTATCTGGGGCCGATATCACCCGGACATCAGACTCAGATAAACCGCCCAGATGACGCCGAACAGACTACCAACAAGCAATCGCTTATCTGCGGGTACAACCGTAAAGTTGAGAATCGACACAAAAGGCCAGAGCTTGAATCCAGCAAGCATGATGGGCCAAAAGTCCTGCGGTGCATCAGTCCTGGCTAATACCCTCGCTACGATAGCAGAGCAACAAAGAATACACCCGAAGAAAGTAGCAGCAGTGGACTTACATTCTGAATCTGTGCATTGATGACATCGAAATCCTGTCCCCGTAAGAGTCCCATCGTCATAATAAATGCGACAGTGTTGATCGCCGCGCCGACAGTCTGGTCAATCACGACTTTTGCTACGGTGTTCGTCACGTTCAACTTCTGCTTCCCCTGCTTCGGGCCATTCTTCTCAGCCGTAGACTTTGAGACAAATGTATCCTCACTGGAGCCAGGAAACCTCGACTCCAGGCCCTCAAGCCAGACGTAGGTCAACGGCGAGAGTACAAACGCACATGTCGTGAACTGGAACAAAGCCTGGAGGTCAAGCTCGAATGGTGTCTACCTTGTGGGAATCATTGCCATCGCTCGTCAGAATCGTCATCATTCCGTTGCATGTCAATGGGATTGCCCATGGCTGGTTGCTCGCTAGGATGAATAAGACGACAAAAGATCGAATCGACGTACCTGATCTCTCCACGCTTTGATTCCCTGCGCAAGGACATTCGAACCCGCATTTACGAGCGCGGCCTGCAAGGTTGCCGTTGCAATCGGGGGTAGAGACATATCTGGCAATGCGCGAGCTAGATGAGATGCGCAAGTGGCCGGGTGAATACGAGCTTCCCCTCGTAAATAGAGTAGTGGCCTCGGGAGGGGAAGTCAAATAGGAGGTTTGGCTCTATTTTTGCATAGATCAGCACTTAGTATAATCTAGTCTTTTTGTGCGAGATACGAACCAGGGGAAATTTTTGGTGTACTTACTGCAGACTACTTCGGAAGCTCGTGTTGCGTGTTGACTCTGTGCGGTAATGATGTCAGCTGGCAAGACTCGAATTGTTCTGGGCCTGGTGAGCTAAAAATACTTTTAGAAATTCAGATGAAGAACTCGTGTTCGCCTATTTAGCCGAATGGAACAAATGGGTGGATCAAGTGTTACGAACTTACGGACAATTTGATGAAAGTTATCGGGAAGAGAACACGAGGTTACGAGGATGCCTTTAAGCATTTATATTGATGGTGTACGTAGAGAGGTACTTGAATTTTGATCTCCTGGATAATTAGGAGGTGGAGTTGGTGAGTAGATCAGGGCTCCAGGTAGGTCCCTAGCACTCGAAATAGTGGAGAAATGGATATGCGGAAAAGGGAAAGTTGACACGTCGTAGTACAAAGAGGAGACTCAAAGTCAGTGAAGAATGTGTCAATTCAGGGTGTTGATTGGTGGCTGGCCTTTCGTTGCCAATACTAGGTACCTCTTTTCTCCGTCACAATCGATAAAAAAGCAGGAAAAGAAATGCTCCCAAGCTATGGATCTAGTAGGGAAGTGCTTTGATTATGCATGTTATGCATTGGTGCAAGATATCTGCGAGTATCGCTGCTTGTAGCTCGCTCAGTGCTATGCTATGCCTAGGGACTACTTTATTGATCGCTTCAACGCGGATGACGGCTACCAGGCCAGACTTGGGACTTTCCTGCCACGACATTCGAGCTCTCTGCAAACTGGGATGAGTCAGTGAAGCTACTTTTGATCTTCCGGCTCCGAATTTGCGAACAAGGAGTTATCGACTTACGTCGATCGGCCTGCTGGGACTTTGGCGTCACTTGCGGCTGCCTCATTGCAGGATGCACTTCCATCCCTTGCAGCTTTTCGAGCTTAGAATGCCTTTTCAGCTTCTCGAGGATCATCTTTTGCAAATCTATGCAACATAAGCGCCAGGGTTCTCCAAAGACGGATACTCAGCGCCAGGTAGAGACGAACTTGAGTTTCCCAAGCTAGAGCGACAGTCCCGAACTTCTGTTGTCGTTGCGGTCACACCTTCCTGGGAGCTATCCGCAGCTCTTCTGACTTGTAACTGATATTTATTCTCCAATTCGGTAACTTGTTGGGTTATCATCTCAATCAGCTTATCCGAAATCAACTGAGAACTGACGTCGCCATCCGTGTTCTGGAAGCAATACAGATCATATCGGACCAGCGTCTTTCGCTCAGACGCCGGATGGAAGGTGAGAGAGTACCAATATCTGGTATCCTTGATGATATGAAACGAGACATTGGGAAATATCAGAACATCAGGATTTCCCGCTGTCTTCCCGTTCAAATAATGCTTAATTCTCGCCAATATTGATGAGCGAACAAGTCGCGCAAGTTCGGGCAATATTGCAGTAGTACTGAACTGCTTCTCAGATATGACTTATGCGGAAAATCATCAGAGCTCATTGAAGCTAAAGATGGCAACAGGGCCAAACTTACCAGCCATTTTCCAATTGAATGCTCCTTCGATAGCCTTACCCCCAATCCATCGTGACTGAGCTATAGGCCCATTACATTCCACGAAGTCGGTCGGACAGTCGGTCTCTAGCAACTCGCCCGGCGCATCGGCTTCGAGATTCACAAAGATGAAGCCGTCGGTGCTCTGCTGAACATGAATAGCAAACAGACCATTCTGTAATTTATCGAAACCAAGTATATTTTCAAAATGAGGGGCTTTGGTAAGCTCGCCTTTCGTGTTATAGCTCCAGCCATGGTAGCGACATCCGAGAACGGTAGAACTTCCTCGCTCTTTATTCGCGACCGTGTACGCTCTATGGCGACAAACATTGTGGAAAGCTCTAATCTCACCATCTTTGCCCAGGATGAGGAAGATAGGGAAGCCGGCCACCTCGAAGGACTGATAATCGCCAGGTTTCGTGAACTGGCTGCGGCGAGAAAGATACAGCCATGACTGTTGATCCACAAGTGTTAAGAGATCTGAATTTCGAACTTGGAGCAGGCTTGTTCGCGCTTACCTTGCCGAACACCGCGCGCCGTTCGAGTTGAAAGATATCACTGCTATTCAGCCAGTTCTCAGGAAAATCCGATTCCTTAGAGACAACTTGTGTGTCGTGGGCTTCTGTGACTTGAGGGAATTGCTCTGATTGTCCTATGAGGAGCGTCTTCGGGTGTATCCCACGGGGCCAGGCTCGACATAGGAAGACGATGGCAGTCAACAGTGCTACAAGTATTGGTGTAGGCGAGGTCAGAGCCTCCATGGCGATTGTCCAGCGGTTTCTCCTGTGTGTCAACCCCGCAGCGTCGGCACCGTTCGAAGCATTTAAAGGACAGCAACTTTGATGACCCCAAGGAAGGTCAACTTCATTCGTTGCCTGATGGACTGGCATGAAGAGACTAGACTCGTGGTACAACTATGAGTCAACCCTATAAGTCAGCAGGCTTGCTGCATATCTTTCCAGATTTGGTGAGCTTTTCCGGTGTACAGGTGTTTCATGCGGGGGTTGCAGTTGAGAAATGACTGTTAGTCTTTGCTGAAGCCGAAGGCGAATTTGAATACGATGGACACGACATGTATGAATCTATACTAGTACTAACGGACACTTATGAACAACCATGCAAATCTAACAGCCGTGTCTACTATGCGGCCGCTCCGACCTGCTCGTCATTGATCTCTGATTCCTTCAATCTGGGTGCGGAGAGATCATGGCTTGCGCTTTCCGCAGCGTGCTGCTGGCACACGAGCTGAAAGACTTTATCTTGATAAACTGTGACGCATTAAAACAGTTTTCTACATCAAACTTAGCGGGCGTCAATCTTATACTCACATGAAACTCCGTTCTCCTTTTCTGGATTCAGGATGCCTTCGCTGTATACGCCCCTTTCCAGATTACCTTGCGCTTTCTCGCAAAGCTCATAGTCCTCCATCGCAACCTGTCGGACGAATCGGTAATACTCCTCAAATTTATTCCCAGACTCTTTGTGATAATAGTCGAATTCCATCCTTGTCTGGCTTGGGTCTTCAGTCGGGCAGACACGGAATGAAGACATGCCTCCGCCATAGACGTTCAGAGTGCAGTTGGGGAAGAAATACAAGAACAGACCGTCGTCTGGTTTCTTTGGATCAGCGATATGCTGGGAGAAGTTCTGGTGATTGTTGACAGTATAGAATGTCGGGGGATAGTAGACGGAGAACGAGGGATGTGTGTATTGACAATGTAGGCATTCCTGATAACCATCGACCCTATTTGGTCTCCGTCAGAGAGATGTGGATAGCCAAAGGGAGGATTTTCCTCACATCGTCTTCCAGTTGAAGCGCCCTTCATATTTAATGCTGCGCCTGTATGGCAGCTTGGTGAAGTCCACCCTTTCTAGCAATGCCTCGAGACCCGGAAAGTACTCCTCAAAATTTGGAGCTTCGTCCGACAATGTACTAAAGACGAGACCAGTAGGTGTGACATGAGAGCGAAGCGTTCTGCCCTAAAAAAATGATGAGCATCCACAATATGGCGCGCAGGAATCTGAGCAGAGCGTACTGTCCTCACACTGACGACCTGGATCTCATCTGGACCAGGAAAAGTCGCGTCTCCACGGCTTCGAAAAGCAAGAACCGACTGCTGCGCGATTTCATACTCGACTTTCTCTCCTATGGTCAAGAACCTTGTCACAGGTCCGAGTAGATACCATGACTATGCGGTTATAAGACATTTTTGTACCATTCACACAGGCAGCGTCATATACCTTGTTGAAGATTGCCCTGCGCTCGAGCTGATAGAGCGGCTGGCTGCAATACCACGAAGCCGGAAGGGTACGTGCTAACTCAGGCATTTTGGAGCATTTATCAAATACGTCCGGCCATCTGGTTTTTCTTCCATCCTTTTGAGCTCCTTATCTCTGGACATTGCAGCCAACTTACTGTCCTGTTGTAGCAGAAGAAAGGAAGATGTCCAATTGGATGGGTATATCGTTTCCCGAAGAGGTTATAAGATCCATTAAAGCCTCTAGCTATATCACACAGAGTCTAAGGTAATTAACTTCGCTGTGGGCGAATGATCAATGAAGCATATGCATACAAGGGTGTCCTGTCCTGCTGATAGGAGCAAGGGTTGCATGCAGACGAATCACAGTAAGGTACGTAACATCATTCGATACGAGGAATCTCTCCTTGTAAAGGACGGTCAAAGCATAGGCAGCAGAGGATACATAAGGAAGATGGAACACGTTACTACTCAGTGAAGTGTACAAAGGTAAGTACTCAGGAAGGGCTGTAGACAAAGATGTTCAGCATGGAATGACACATCTTTCAGGAATAAAAAGGAAAAACATCTTCCACATAGAGTATCCCCGAGACAAATTTGGTTCTTCCTTTCTCTGTAGCCGAACTGATGTTGACTGTATCAACAATGATGAAATGTTTTGCTGCTGCCTGCTGTGGGCATGTGTGGCGATGGAAGAGCTCTCGAAAGTACCTCCTCAAAACATACTGCAAATCATCAGAGACTCAAGAAGCTACTTCAAGGAATAGTAAAGTGACAAGTATTCAGCATCAAACTATTTCTCTAGTGTTTTGTGGATTTAATTATCTTTGAAGTTCAAAGACTGTCTAAAGTGGGACAATCGATCAATAATCAGGTGCCCCACGATTACGTCGTGATCTCATTCTCCACGCTCAGTCATTTGCTTTTGTCTTATCAGCTTCACTCAATAGGAAAAGAACAACTCCAAATCCAATCGCAGTCTTACGCATGATGAGCACCTTTCTCTGAAATCTATCTCGTCAAGCTCCAAATTTGCCATTAGAAATGGCAGGCTCCGGCACCAGATTCACTCCTCCTCCTTCGCCGCCGTCACCGACGGCGTCTTTCTACGATGTCAGCGACGCCGAGGAGGACGAATACAATAGCATCTCCTCCACATCAGGGAGGGGGGTGAAGCTTTTGTTCTCTAAGAGCAAGGTTAGTCTTTGACAAGTCTAACAGAACTTTTGCATAAAAGGCCACAGCTGACATTCCGCTGTCTTCCTGAGTATGGCAGGTATACGTCCATCCAACTCCCTCCTCCAAGGACAATATCCCTGGCTTTATCGCTCTGCTCCAACAAAAACCAGCTCCTACTATGAGCAGCAATGTCGCATCAACAAATACCGCTATGACCACCGCCGACCTCTCTTCCTACCTCCTTGCCTGGGTCCCCGAATCCTCCCTCGGCGACGCCTACAGTACCTATGTCAAAGTCGACCTGTCTGGTGACTCTTCACCCCCGAAGCAACGATATCTGGTACCACCGCTCCCGACTACAACTACATATAAAGATCCGATCGGTCTATATGCGTTCGCCGTACCGCTATCCGAAATTTATTCCCTGCTGGTCCGACCTCCTAGTTTAGGTTGGTGGTTTGGTAGCCTGGTGATCAATACCCGGGCTGGTGATAGTTTCCCGGCGCTGTTCTTTCACGATAGTGAATGCGAATCAACGATACTGCAGAAGAAAAAACGGACAAGGGAAAGTTTTGACCCATTTGGTGAAAATGGCGGCCTATTCTGGGGCGGTGACGAGGTTCTGCGCTGGCTCCGGAAGTACGTTGAGGTGCAGCGCTCGTCTGTCGACAACAGTGTCTATCTAATCAATCCCTCCGAAGAGGACCGCATATCCTTCGCACGGCCACTCAGCAGTTATGACGGATCGGTAACGAAGCAAGGGCACGATGCAGCTGCTGGCCCACATCAACCCGGTGGCAGTGCAGAACGAGATGCCGGAATGGATCCCTTTGTGAAAGCACTCAAGGAAACTAGATGGAAGGTCCTTGAGCAGCTCAGCAAGATTACCACATTCACAAGGCGGACGGCGAACGAACTCGCCGACAACACCATGATCCCTCCGCAAGTCCGTCGCCTGATGAAGACTCCTGAGATTCAGACCCTGCAGGATGAGTTCGATAGCGCCAGGCTCTACTTGGCTCGATGGGCGATGAGTATTGCTGAGCAGAGTGAACGAGAAAGGGCTCAGCGCATATGGACTGCACGGGATGTCCTGGAAATGGAAAATAGCTCTGTGGGTGATTTTGAAATTTTGGAGCTCGAAACTGGAACAATGGCGATTCAGGAACGACGCAGAATTGTCACTATGCAGGAATGGGAGGGCTTTTTTGATGCCACCACGGGAAGGCTCAACGTCACTGTAGACGAAGTGAAGGAGAGGATTTTCCACGGGGGCCTTGACCCAAATGATGGGGTCAGAAAGGAGGCATGGCTTTTCCTTCTCGGAGTGTACCCTTGGGACAGCAGCCGCGACGAGCGTCAAGCTCTGATGAATTCGAAACGGGATGAATACATCCGGCTGAAGGGTGCTTGGTGGGAGAGGATGGTTGAGGGGTCTTCCACTACTGACCAGTATGAGTGGTGGAAAGAGCAGAAAAACCGCATAGGTATGCTTGCCTCACATGGAAGCATTTCTAAACCCAGTTGCTAACATATTGGTATCAGAAAAAGACGTGCATCGTACAGATCGCACGATACCTCTCTTTGCAGGAGAAGATATCCCTCATCCGGATCCAGACTCTCCCTTTGCGGATGTAGGGACGAACGTACATCTAGAGCAGATGAAGGACATGCTCCTCACTTACAACGAATACAATCCTAACCTTGGCTACGTTCAAGGAATGAGCGACCTCTTAGCGCCAATTTACGCGGTCATGCAAGACGATGCAGTCGCATTCTGGGCCTTTGTTGGATTCATGGACAGAATGGTAAATCCCACACATATCCGTCCCAAATCAACACTGCTTACACAGACCAGGAACGGAATTTCCTTCGCGATCAGTCTGGCATGCGCGCCCAGCTCCTCACCCTAGATCACCTGGTACAACTTATGGACCCCCAGCTATACCTCCATCTCCAATCCGCCGACAGCACGAACTTCTTCTTCTTTTTCCGAATGCTCCTTGTCTGGTACAAGCGCGAGTTCGAATGGGTAGACGTCCTACGTCTCTGGGAGACATTGTGGACCGACTATTTCTCCAGCAGTTTCCACCTCTTTGTCGCGTTAGCAATCCTAGAAAAACACCGCGATGTGATCATGGACCATCTGAAACATTTTGATGAAGTTCTTAAATACGGTAAGCACACTACCTCTACCCCAACTGACCGCGACCACCCAATTAATCCACCCAAAAGTCAACGAACTATCAAACACCATGGAGCTCGTCCCCATCCTCACCCGCGCAGAATCCCTTTTCCGTCGCTTTGAACGCACAGTTGAAGCAATAGACAAGAAGAATAACTTCCCCGCTCCATCGACCCATCAACGGAAACCCACGCAGGAATCTGCTTCGACGAAGGGCAAGTCGCCACAACGCCCACATAGCGTTGGCTACAGCAGCGGTGTCAGTGCCGGTCCGGCGAGTAGTGGTGCGGCCGGAGATAAGGCCGAGTCCAAGGTTATCTCGCCCGAATTGAGGCAGCTTCTGAGCAAGGAAATTTTGTGGAAAGAGCCGCATCCATCCAGCTCGAAATGAGCTGCCGCAGCGACCTTATTCAGTCTGATCTTCGCGTGTTTTATCGGCTTGAGTTGGGCTCATATTTGTACTGGTTGAGGAGAATCTCCGGCTGGGTTGGGCTTGGGACAGGTTGGCGTTATTTCTTTTCCTCCCGGCAGCGTTTCTTAGCTACGATGCTATCTCCACGATTAACTATCTCAAACGATCATAAATATCATGGTTCTCAACTACGGAGTAAGTTCAGGCAGTAGTTTCTCGTCGTTGCTGGTTGCTTTGTGCTGCGTATACCAAAGTAGTAAAAGTACCATCTAGGTAGCTTTCTGTAGTCTATCGAGCACCATTGGACACTTTGGCCGAGTGGTTAAGGCGCAGGCCTGCTAAGCCTGTGGGTTCGCCCGCCTGGTATGTTCTACTCACTTACCTAAATAACACAACATCATCTAACAGTCCCCCTACAGGGTTCGAATCCCAGAGGTGTCGTCCGCAATATCTTTTTTATTTTTTGCCTTTTTCACTACCTTTCTTTTTTCATACAAATGACCCTGCGATTTTTGCTTATTACTACCCAATACTCAATATATTATTTTGTAGATTTTTAATTGGGTTATATTTTGACTTAGTGGCGTTGGGGAGATTAAGAGTGTGCTACTCCGTACTTCTGTACTCTCCCGCATAGCTCGCTCGATATATATATTTGTATAACCAACCTTGAGCCTCACGAAGGTCCTGTTGGACCTGTCATATTAGCCACCAAAAATATACGTAGGATGAAATTGCAGAGCTGGTAGCTCATTCCGGGTCTTATACAGCAGAGAAAGCACGTAAAAATAAGTGTCCACAGGACGTTCATTGAATCATAAGCGAAGTTCTATGCAAGGGTTATATATTAACAAAGTAAAAGTGAAGGGAAATGGTATAGTATCAATGCTCGATGAATGCTAATGAGGATAGTACAGAGAACTATATGACATTCAATAAACCGCGATTCCTTTATTTGGAAAAGTTGAGAAACGACCAAGGCAAGGCGTCGCGACAAGGGATATCAGTGAAAGCAATTAACCTCGGACTTTACGATAACTCGGCGGTTTCCAGGACCGTTGGATCAGTTTAGCTGCCCACACGGGGACCACGGAGACGGCGCAGACGGCGACCACACGCCAGACCCAGTCGACTGTGATGACGTATTCGAGATCGAAGTAGTCGCCCAGAAAGGGGACGCTGGCGGCATAGACCAGAGCTGTACCGATAAGGCTGAAGATCATTACCGGATGCCAGGTGGTGATGGCGATAGCGACCATCAGCAGCTCGTTGATGACGAGGGCCGTGAACGAGACGCTGATCAGCCGCGGGCCCGAGATGGTGTTGAGCAAGATCTGCGAGAGTCCCTGGATTACGGCACCCTGATAAACTGACACAAGCACCCAGCCGAAGAACGAGCGATAGCTGAGACTGCGGCCGGACTTGAGTTCTTTGTACAGTTCGGGGTAGAGATTGGCCAGGTGCTCGTCCACGTCGCGGTCGAAAACGAGCGAGAAGACTGGGGCATTGGTGTAGACCGTCGCGTAGCCGACCATCAGCCAATTGATGAACAGACCCTTTGGGTCAAAATGGCTTGCAATGCTGTACATTGTCTGGCAAGCGCTAATGATGAGGCCACGATGCATGATGAATTGCGCCAACTTGGCGGATCTCTTGTATGAATTGCGGCCGTGCCAAACGAGGAGCTTTGTAAGGTGGTGGAAGTGCGTGATGCTAAAGTCAGCAGCCAACGAGGCCTGGCGTCCCTCCTTGCCGACAATACCAATTCCAACATCGGCTGCTTGGATCATGGAGACATCATTGCCGCCGTCACCGATACAGCAAACTCGTTTCTTAGTGTATTGACGAATCAACTCCGCGACCTCAGCTTTCTGAGTCGGAGAGCATCGACATGCAACCACAGCCGGTAGCAGAACGGCCACGGATATGAATGCCGACCGGAACTGACCAAGCATCAGCGACAGCGACTCGCCATCGATGAGCAGACAGCAATCGGTTTTATTTCGCAAGAAGTCCAACGCCTCTTGGGCGGCAGACGGGTCCTTCACTTTGGCGACAGTGTGGATGTATTGGCCCCGAGCTACCAGCTTGGCGGAGATTGCGACACACCGTGCAGTCTCCACTTTATCTCCGGTCAACATCCAGATTTTGACTCCAGCGTTGCGAAGAAGCTCTAGTGATGGTTTTACATCTCTTTGCAGACGATCTTCCACACCAGTCACGCCGAGAAGCTCCAGGTCACGCTCAAGGTGCTCGCTGACAACCTTGGCCATCCCGACGTCGCGTCCTTGCAACGCAAGCGAGGCCTGCTTGTACTTTGCAGAGAACTCCTGGAACTGCTGCAAGGATAGCCGTTTCCTACCAATCACAAGGGTACGCAGCCCCTCCCGAGCCATATTCGCAGTTTCCTCGTCAAGCCAGTCGTTTGCTGCAACGATGCTGGACATAACAGTATCTGCGCCTTTCTGATAGAACCAGATTTCGGTCTCTTCGTTCGAAGACTCTAGGATCGAGTTGGCGGTTTCGAATTGTACAATGATGCCCATTCGCTTGCTGTCCGAGGTGAAAGGGAAAATCTCCAGGATGCGGACACGAACGACAATACTGGCTGTGTCGGTCGTTTCCAGGATAATGGATTGCCGGTCACGGTATGACAGCTTCAGACCGACCTCCTCGGTGTACTTGACAATGGCAATCTCATCGGGCGATGACGCTTGATAATTCGTGACCTTCACACCGTCTTCTTCGTCGGTCGTGGGAGTGACATTATGACATAGAGCCAGCGCCAGGACAATATCACGAACGCGCGACCCAATCTCTCGCCTTGTACGAGGAGCTGCCCCAAGTCCTGCTTGAGCTCCGAATGCAGCTGAAGGTGTGGTCAAGGTATTGCCAGCGAAGGCTTGCCGAACAAATGACGCCACTTCCTCCATAGCGTCGTTTGCATAAGAAACAGTACCGACATGGATCTTTTTCAGCTCCATTTCTAAGACAGTTAATAATGCAGTTCAACTGGTCAGATATATGAAGACTTACCGTTTTGAGTTAGGGTACCAGTCTTGTCAGAAAGGAGATACTCGATTCTACCAAGATCCTCGGGTATCGTACTCGTTCTAACAACGGTCCCAGGAATATCTTTGTCTCGGTGAATGAACCTGCTATACACAGATTTCGCCATGTCCAAGTTGACTCGCAAGCTCATCGGAATGATTGTTGAGAATAGGATAAGGTAAATCATGATTGCGATGTACCATTCTTTGTCGTTGTTTGGTTCAAAACCCTCCAGAGCAACCAGAATGATTGATAGAGTGAGGGTCAACGCGCATAAGATCTTGGTCAGGTTATTGATCTCATATTCCAGAAGACCTACTTTTGAACGAGATGGCGATGTGGAGAGAGCTGCTCGTGTTTGCGAGCCAGTGTAGATAATGACGGCATACGTTATTGTATTGGATGCCAGGACCGTGTTTGCCCAAGCCGTGTTGTCAATTGTGAGGGGCGCAGAATTGGCTTGCCGATCCTCGTTGCTCGCTCCGCCGCCAGTCTGCGCTTTGTCGACGTGGGGATCGTAGAAACCTGGCTGCGAGCCAAGTTCAATAGTGCCAAGAAACTCATTGACTCGCTTGTCCGGTGCGCTGGCGGTGACCTTGAGTCTAAGGAAATCCCGGAGTCGCAGGGACTGAGATAGGACCGAAGGCAAGCGTAGTTTCCAGTCAGTTTCACCGTCTAGCTGGTCAGTACGGATGAATGTGTCACTAGTAGAAGAACTATCAATTTCATCCGCGGCGGCACTTGAACTAGGCTCAACCTCAGACGGTTGAACTGATTCTTGGTCGGGTCGCATAAGATCCGTGGCAATCTCAGCTGAAGAGCTTCGCCGCGCAGTGACAGAGTCATTGGAAATAGTTTTCAAGATCACCACATCCGCGGGAAGCCGCTGGTTTTTGCGAACCTTAAGAACGTCACCGACTTTCAGGTCCCTAGACTTCTTCGTGATCTCGAATACTTCGTCGACATCCGAATCATTATTTGCAGGTGTCGCAAACGCCCTTCTGCCCGCGGGCTTGTCAAAGGACAACACTGAGAACTCTTCGGAGTTGGCCTCGGCATCTCGTCTTCGCCGACCAATATCATCCAAGGCTTCTTTTCCCAAGGATATCGAGACGACGAAAGCTAGAGGCGCGATGTAGGACGACATGTACCCGATGCGAAGCACGGGAATGATTTGCGAAAGAGCCACAAGTAAAAAATAGATGTTGAAGAAGAAGGAAAACTCGTTGTATAGGGTACGTGGTAGAAAGCTCCAAGGGGTATACTTCGCATTGGAAACGATGTTCGCTGGGTACTTCGTCCTTTGCGCTTGCCCAACGAGCACTTCCCGAGGAGGCTTGGTTGCATTGTTTTCGTCGTTCCTGCGAGACCAGCTCGACGGACCGGAGAAGATGTTGGCTGCTTTGAAACCGAAAAATCGTGACCGAGAACCCCTTCGTCGAATCGAGCCATCACCCGCAAACGAGCGGGCCGAGCTCCGCCGGGGATTGTCGAGCAGCGGAGCATCATCATCAGTGAAATTGCGTGAGCTCGCGTGCGAGCTCCGGAGAGGCTCTCCCTCTCGATCTTCTAGTAACCCGTGTGTATCCTCCTCCGAATCCCTGTTCCGTATGCCGGAAGCACTACGCTTCCACCCTCGACTTCCACCGCCAACCCGCAAATTCCTCAAAGCAATCCCTGAACCATAGCCTCTTTGTCGCGTTGTTCCATCGTTTGATAGCCGAGGAGATTTATGAATGGTCGCCGTGGTCGGGTCCAACTCCTCCAAGTCAAGATCGTCATCGGATCCGGAGTCACCAGCAAGGCTGGCGCGGTCGTGAGGATGAAGGTACTCGGATGATGAAGGCATTGTAGGTATGATGCGAACTGATATTGACTGTGCTTCCCATATGAAGCGGCGATCCCGGATCTTCCTCGCAAAGTCCTCTTTATTAGATCAGGATCCCTATCTCACGGTAATGGCATTTCAGGCCCGCATTGTTATTGTACTTGTCGCTATGAAGAAAGTGGATGGCGTTCAACAGCGCGCCAGGAAGTAAGAAGCTGAAATCCAGGAAAAGAGGGCAAATAACACCATCCTATATGCACTTAAGAATAATCAAGGAGTAGAAGAAAGGAAGTCATTCTATCATCGCGATAATAATAATAATACTAAGGTATCTTTGGAGCCTAAGTAGTGGTAACTGATTCATGAGAGGTGGAGCAAGGTCCGATCACATGATTGGTGCGGGCCTCAGGCTCTGCCACGCAGCTGTGGCGCAATCAATTGTTTATGAAACAGCGATGTCATAGGCGAAGCTGCTGTGTATTGCTCTGCTCCTTTCAAGACCACATTGTAGCAGCTGAGTGTCTTCAGATAATGATTTAGGGAGATTAATTCCCTGTAAAGA